CTGCAGGGCGTTCCTTCCTAGGAACAAAAACAGCTGCCTCTGTGCTCCACTGGGCCTGCCCACACCTCCCCGAGAGACCCGCGGACACCTAGCACGGATCCGCAGACAGGGGGCTTTGCAACCCGCTTTTCTTAGAAAATCCCAGTGAATCTATACAGAACGCTGGGGGTGTGCTTAGGTGGCAGCTTAGAGGGGGCCCCCTGCTGAAGACCCAGTGCAGGCATTCCTGCTGACTCCGAGCGCGCAAAGCTCACGTAAGTGAGAAACTGAGCCCCGGAGGACGGAGCCGGCCCGCCCAGGTCACTGCAGTTAGGCTGCGCCTCGGGGCACCGGGCGCGCGTGAGAGCCCAAGCAGACTCAGGGACACGTAGAGGCTGCTCCTCAGAAAAACCAGCACCACTGAGGACGCTCGTCCTGCAGCCTGGGGGGCGTCCGCAGCCCCTGCCGCGTGGGTGCCGGGTGGGGGCCTCCCTCTAAAGCAGGGGTGTGGAGTCGGTCCTCAGCGTCACCGCACGGAAGGTCGTTGGCTACAAAAGGAGCAATGCTGGGCACAGGGGTGGCCAGCGTGGTGTCTGGGCGCCGTCAGGACACACGGCTGTGGGCCTGCTGTGGTAACTCTCCACCTGGCCCCCGCACCCACGCAGCTGCTGCCTGGGGTTTCCTGCCAACCCCTTTCATCTTTGTTTTCAAAGCCGGGCTTTGAGTTAACCACATTTGAGGAACAGTGGCCTTGAGACGGCCCAAAGCTCCGAATTACAGCCGTGGCCCACGTGAAGGGGGTGGATTTGGGGTGGGGAGCACAGCTCCGTGGTGAGCGCTTACCTAGCATGTGTGAGGTCCTGGGTTCAGTATCCAGCAGCACAAAAAAGAGGTGATAGAAAAGTCCTACCTGTGTGTAGAATGTCAACATATGCATACGTGCGTGCCGGGTATGATACGTACACACACATATGTAACGTGCTCCTCGAAACGCTCACCAGTGCGTGCATATGCAGGCTGTTCCCTTCGGCAATTTGTGCCTTCCCGGGCAGCAGACACGACTGAGCACCTTTGTCCGACAGGGCCAGGTCCTGGTGCCAGGTGGCGCCCGCCCAGGCCAGGGAGGCCTCGGCCAAGCAGACGGACACACGTCTGTGCAGGTTACACTGGAAACTGGCTGGGAGGAGCTAGGCGAGGAGGACGGTCCACCGAGCCAGGGCCTCAACTCCACCGCACACTGCCTCTGAGCGGCACCCAGCCAAACCTCTGCGATGTTCTAACACCCAGAAGAGTTACTTGCCGTGCAGCCTGGCTCACACACACTGCTTGGGAGCTACAGGCCTTCAGCGCCCTTTCCCAACCCTACTTTATTTGGTTAAACACTTGCTTGCAAGGGTATTTACTTTCTGAATTGGCAGGCTCTAAGGAACATAAAATATTAAATTCTCAGCTGTCTGTCTGTTTAGACTTGACTATTGAAAGTACTTTTGTGCAAATAGATATGGCCAGGTTTCACTATAGTTTCTTTAAAATATTTCTGACTTTCAGGAAAGCCAGCGTTTTTAGAAGCCATTTCATTGTTTATATGAGAGCAAATGAAGTTACCAGGGAATAGCACCTGCTTTTTTCTTGGTTCTTCTGGGGAGTAGCCGGGGTGGATGTGGATGTTGGGTATGGACGCTTCGCTGCCCTGTCCCACTGCTTTAATGACTGCACATCAGCACCTCGACAGACCCGTTCGCCTTGCATAACGCCACCTGAGGGGATAAAGACAGATCTTAGCCACCTCTGCACACATCAACACACAGAATAGGCCCAGATTTAGCCAAAATGGAGACAACTGCTCTTCTTTCAAGGAGAGCCGTCCTGGTGTCCTCCACAGCGATGCCACTGAGGAGAGAATCATAAACTATATTCTTTTCCCATGCCTGCATCATGTCCAGAAGGTTCTCGGGCATGATCAGAATTGTGGGGCCAAAGTCTCCTTTGGTAGTAATCCCCAAGTGGCCTCCCTTTGCTAGACACACACAAAAGAGAACGCAGACTGGTCTGACAGGGCCGCCCAGGCTGTGGGGCTGTAGCCTCCGTGGATGTTAAGGGGGACGGATGGGATGCGGGGAGGAACTCCAAGGGGCGAGCTGGGTGGTGCTGCCCTTGGTGAGCAGAGAGGAGAGGACTTGGGGTCCTGCTGGGGCGCTGCCACGTGGTCCGGCCCAAGTTCTGCAGTCCGGGGACAGCCGGGTCTGTGCGTGTGGCTCCGGATAGACACCTACTCTAGGAATGTGTGTGTGAGGGTCATTGGCTGCAGACTGCCGCACACCCTGAGGAAGGCCGGGCCACAAGGGACGAGGAGGAGCCAGGGCTTGGGCGCTGCTGCCCCCTGGGAGTGTCAGCCCACATGACCCACCTGCCCTGCCTCGAAAACAGGGTGCCCGGCTCCTGCCACCCTATGCACCCCACCCTGCCCTGGCGTCCCTCGGGGAGGGCAGATCAGGCAAGGGAGCCTTCATTACACAGCCACACATTAGCCGACCTTGCCCTGGTGGCCAGCCCAGCCCGCGCACTCCTCTGGCAGCTCACAGGACAGCTGCCCCGTCAGGGTCTTTCAGGCCGTGTGGCCTTTCCGTTACTCTGCACGGTCATCCGTACTGAATGCCCCGTTGTGTATCGCTGGTCCTCACCACATCTGTGGGACCCGGTGTCCAATCCTTCCCAGATCTGTCAGATCAGAACGAGGCCCGGACCTCGGGGATGTTAATGCCCGCACTTCACAGGCTGGCGAGCAAGAAGGGAGCTAAGTCACGGAGAGTGCCCAGCAGGGTGTGGGCACACAGGCATCACTGACACCATCACCGGAAAGAGGGTCTCACGCTCTGACTCCACACCATCTCACCGAATTTGAATGTGTTAGGAAGAAGCTTTGGGCCTGGTATGGTGGTGCACACTTGCAATCCCAGCTACTTGGGAAGCTGAGGCAGGAAGATTGTAGGTTTGAGGCCAGCCTGGGCAACTTAGTGAGACCCTGGCCCAGAATTTAAAAATTAAAAAGGGCTAATTTTGTTTAAAAAAAAAAAATTAAAAAGGGCTGGGGACGTAGCCCAGTGCTCCTGGGTTCAGTCACCAGTACTAAGAAGGAAACGAGGAAGAGAGCGGGCTGTGGGCAGAGGGTAGCCCCGAGGGGGAGTGCGTGTCTGGTATGTACAGGGTGCAGGCTACAGGACGAGCGACCCATTGGCCAACTGCAAGAAAAGCCAGAGCCCCAGAGCAGCATGGGAGAGCAGAGGGGGTGCCCCGTCCTCGCCTTCCAGGGGACTGCTTCCCTGCTAGTCAACTGTGTATTATGTTCCTAGGCAAGTTTTATTTGGAAAGACAGCTCTGCTTTGGGGCCTCAGCCACGCTGTTGGTAAGGGTGCCCCTCCCCCTGCAGCCCACTGGGGAAGTTTGCTGGGCGCAGGGAGCACCCTGCCTCCCATGGGCAGGGGACAAGATGTCCGGGGCTCTGGGGTGCCAGGCGCGGCCAGGCCTGCGCCCTGTGCTGTGCAGGGATGCGGCACACCACAGCGGCTGGGGTCCTGGGAAGCTTCCTGGAGGAGGAGGCAGGATGCCAGCGGCAGAGACGGCACAGTCACCGGGAGGCAGGCATGGTGTGTGTGGGGAGGTAGCTGTGCCGTGCTCTGACGTGGAGGGAACACAAAGGAAGGGCAGTGTCCAGGCCTCAGCCTGGCCCAACAGCACGGGGCAGCAGAGCTGCAGGGAGCAGGCGCAGCAGGAGCTCGGCCTGGCTGCAGAGCTGGGGGCGACATCGTCAGAGCTGTGCCCTAAGGAGATGCGGGTGCTGCGGAGCCCCTGGTCAGAGACTGGCCCTGGCACCGGGAGCCAGAGGTGTGGACAGCGACTGGAATGACGCCCTGGAATCCGTTAGGCCTCGCCCACCAGGGGGCCCGCCTTCCTCCACCTTGCTACTGCTGGCAGGAGCCTGCTGCCATTGGAAGCCTGCATTTCCTTTAAAGGCTTCAATTGTCCCTGACTCCCTCGAGCTCGGTGCGTGGGTCCCGCCAGCTCCGTTCTTTGCCTGCATAATTGAAAATGACAGCTCGGGCTGTCAAACCTGACTGCGAGTGAAGCTCCCTGGATATTTATATCACACCAAAGAGAGAGAATCGTGCCAGCAGAAGACAGGCCTTTTATTAAACGCCCAGGCCGAGGCATGGGTGTTAGAGGCTGGCAGCTTGCCCATGAGCTGAACCCAGCTCGGGCTGCGTCGGGCAGCCGGGGCACTGAGGGCATCTTCGTCCACTCAGGACCAGGCATCGCAGAGCTCAGCGAAGTCAGGCAAACACTGAGGCCCTGGTCAGTGACTGCTTGGGGGTTTTGTTTTGTTGAATGCGTGGTTTTGAACTCCCCTGAGAAAGTGGAAATTGCCCATGTTAAAAAAGGACGCTTTAGGCCACAGTGAGCTGGTGTCTCGCATTAGTCTGCATTTTGCTGGTTTCTGGTACCCTGGCCAGTCACACTTGTAAAAATTGCTGAGAAGGTGGATGACTGGGAGGCTGAGGCAGGAGGATCACAAGTTCAGGCCCAGCCTGGGCAACTCAGCAATAGAGAGACATCTTTTTGATGTTTTATAAATACCCAAGGAAATTTACTTACAGTCATATTCGACGAGCTAAATCTTCGAAACAAAAACTGGAAAAGGCTGGGCATGTAGCACAAGGCAAAGGCCCTAGGATCAATCCCCGCAAAAAAGCCCGTACAGTTGGAACCATGTATATTTTACGTGCAGATCTGTGCATATCCCGCCTGAGTCATAGACGTATCCCTAAGCAAGCGCCCGTGGACCGCGGGTTTGTGAATTAGCTAATGATGTAATCGCTCTTAAAACGGCGACTGAGTAAGACAGCCCCGGACACCCGCAGGGCAGTGTCTGCGCAGGCGCGAGCGAGCGGCGGGCCCAGGAGGCGGGCCTCGGGCTGTCCGTCACGCAGGCCCCGCCCTGGCGCCGGGTTCTGACGTCACCGTCTGCGCCGCTCGCCGCGGAAGCAGGAAGTGGGACCAAAACAAAGGAGTGGCGGTCGCGAGCGGACCTTCCCGCCCTCGTCTCCCCGCCGCCAGCGCCGCGGCCCGGCCGCCGACCCCAGCAGCCGTCCGCCATGTCCACCATGGAGAAACACCTGTTCAACCTGAAGTTCGCGGCCAAAGAACTGAGCAGGAGTGCCAAGAAGTGCGACAAGGAAGAAAAGGCCGAGAAGGCCAAAATTAAAAAGGCCATTCAGAAGGGCAACATGGAAGTGGCGAGGATCCACGCCGAGAACGCCATTCGCCAGAAGAACCAGGGCGTGAACTTCCTGAGGATGAGCGCGCGGGTGGACGCGGTGGCCGCCCGGGTGCAGACGGCCGTGACCATGGGCAAGGTGACCAAGTCCATGGCCGGCGTGGTCAAGTCGATGGACGCGACGCTGAAGACCATGAACCTGGAGAAGATCTCCGCGCTGATGGACAAGTTCGAGCACCAGTTCGAGACGCTGGACGTGCAGACGCAGCAGATGGAGGACACGATGAGCAGCACCACCACGCTGACCACGCCCCAGAGCCAGGTGGACCTGCTGCTGCAGGAGATGGCCGACGAGGCGGGCCTCGACCTCAACATGGAGCTGCCGCAGGGCCAGACCGGCTCCGTGGGCACCAGCGTGGCCTCGGCCGAGCAGGACGAGCTGTCCCAGCGGCTGGCGCGCCTGCGGGACCAGGTGTGAGGCGGGCGCGCGCGCCGCGCCCTGCGGGGAGCCGAGGCGCCCTTCCGCCGGCCGTCGGGTTTACAGCGTGGAGGGTTCCACCTCCTCCGCCCCTGCCCGGATCCTGAAGTCCTGTGTTGCTTGTGCTGATGTGTATTTTATAGCTGCCTTTTGACGGGACTAGCTGAATTGGTGTACATGGATCTCGAAAATTCGATCCGAATTGTATTTCCCACATATTCAAGTTCCCATTTAAGATGATCAGAGTGGAGGGGTTTTGTGACGTTAGTGCGATTGGCGGTGCGTGGGATGACAGGTGGTGGTGAAAATGAAAGCGGGGTGGCTGTGCGCTTTGGTTTCGTGCCGTAAACACTTCCTTGGGCGTACTCCCTGGACGTGACGTCTCTCTGGAGCCTTTGTTTTTCTTTGTTCTTGCCATCAAAGCAGCACTGCAATTAACTACTGATTCGTTCTCATAACTTGTACTACAATTACCTTAGGAAATTTTTCAGTAATACCCTCACGGTTTACATTCTGTAACTTTTTCATGTGATAATACAGTTTGTGTAACTGGAAAGAAATACCCCATAACTTTATTTATCATCAGGAAAAATTAAATGTTCGCTTGTATTTTCTATTTACTAAGTAGAGTTTTAAAAAGACTTAGAAGATTTAATATTGGGTGATTTCTAGCTATTTTCTTATGTCCACACTCCTGATAGTGTGTCAGTTTCCTATGTCCACACTGCTGATAGTGTGTCAGTTAGCATAGCACTCATATTTACACTCCTAACATTGCCAAAGAATTGTTGATTGGTTTGGGGAAACCCAGGGACTATGTGTTTATAGCTTTTGTTTTGATTTTACCAGCCAAAAATAGAAATAAAATTAGAACTGCATTTTAAGTTCTAATTATTTGCATTTTTTTTTTTTTTTGTCTTAAAGCAGCAACACTTTAGAAATTTCAGAAATACAAGTTGGAATGTTGATTTAGCCATGCAAATACTGTAACTTGAATCTGCATCCAGCCAACTTGAAGCGGGGAGGAAGAGTTGGGCCTGGAAGGGAGACAGGCCGGGTTCCTCGTCCCTGCAGTGCTGCTGCATGTCTGGGTGCAGAAGTCAAGCGTGTAGCCACCACTTTCCTCATGGCCACAAGCCATGGAGAGCAGCAGTTTGCTTTTGCTTGGCAAGTGTGTTAATCTAAGTTAAGTACTTAAGGTTTTCTTAAAGTCTCCTTCCTTGACTGGTAGATTTCTCCACAAGAGAATTCCAGTGTTTGGGAAAGTAATCGTGTCCCTTCCCAGTTCTCTGAAAGTTTCATAACCACGTGTTTATCATTGTAACTTGTTTTCCAGTGTGAATGAGTGAAGGGGAAAACTAGCAGGTATATGCCACCGAGGACTGACCTCGTGGTTATGCGTTTAACTGAATGTGATCGGGAAGCTGGCTGTAAGGGACACCGGCTTCTGCCCAGCGTCTCTCGAGGGCCCCGTGCCAGGCAGCTGTGTGACCTCCACATGCGCAGAGGCTGCTCTGTGGGTGCAGCCTGTGTCTTAGGCCTTTTAGACCGGAAATCTTCATCACAAACAACAAAATAGCTTAGTGTCAGCTCTTTTGATAAGTGAAGACCCTTGTATAGTGCATATATTCCCATAAAAATCTATTTTGTGAGATGCAACAATGCTTGTGTATGGTTGAACTTTCTTAAAATGTGTTCATTTCATACTATATGAATGTACATTTTTATGAATCAAATATTTTCAAAAGCACTACAGGCCCATGGATTATTTCTTCCCTTTTGAAGTGGATGCAGTGTTGAAAATTACAGAAATTTGTTCAATAAATCATTCTAAGCTGCATGTGATTGCATATGAGTGTGCATCCCACTTGAGCTATTGAAGGACTAGGGATACAGTTTAGGGGGAAGGCGCACGGTTAGCATTCGAATGGCCCTAGATTTGATCTTAACACACTCCCCCCCCCCCCGAAAAAAAAGATTAAAAAGCTTCTTAAGAAAAGAGATGTCCCAGGTAGATTTGGTTTGGAAAGCGTGCTGTTTTCCCACACATGTTCTCAGGCTTAGCCCCAGAATTCTTACTCGGCTAGCATAGCGTTTTCGCAACCACAGCCACTTCTTGGCAGCAAGATTCATTTTCTGTTGAAACTTCCCTAGACCACAGATAGATCTAAGTTCCGAAAGGATCCAACCCAAACGGGCCAGGGCAGTAGATAATTTTTATGCAACTACTGGTACTACTTCCAGTCCTCTTTTTATTTTTTTGTCTTCAAATGCAGTTTCTAACCTGGGTTTGGAATTAATGGGAAAAGAATATTGTGGACTGACAGACACTTTCTTGTCCTCTACTTATAGTTTAGTGCAAACCCAGATGTCACAGCCGGAGAACTTTAGCTAAATCTGCTCACCTTGCAGGGGCGTGAGCCTCAGGGTATAAGGGCCTCTGAAACAGGCTGGAGAGCTGACGGAAGAGACCGAGACAAGCCCGTGTGCTGGGGCCTGGCTCAGGGTAGTGCACTTGCCCAGCATGCATGAGGCCCTGCTTCCATCCGGCACTGCCTGACCACCTTGTCAACAAGGGAGAGTCCTGGTCAGCGGGCCAGGACCCCAGCAGGGAGGAGCTCCCGCTGCAGTGCTCCTAGCACCCCCAGGGACTCTACAGAGCCGCACTCCAGAGTGTGAGGCCTCAGCGCCAGGAGCACGAAGCTGCAGGCCAGGGACGTTAAACAAACCAGTGAGCAGGCCTCTGTAGTTGCGGTCTTTAATTAATTGCCCCAAATTAGTTAAACAGCCTGCCCAGTTTTCCCAACTTCTTTTTCTGCCACTAGACAGCAGGTCCGAGGGAGGGCAGGCAGGGTCTCCCCTGAGGCTGGGTGCTTTCATGACGGAGCCCAGTAGAGCTGTCCTCGGGCTCCGTGCTTGCCCTCCCCAGCGTCTGTCCAAGCCCCCACCCCGCAGGGTTTGTGCGCTGTGTCTTCCTTGAGGTGTCAGGATCCGCAAGCCCTAGAGGACACACTGAGAGGTGGAAACCTAAGCACCAGGCACTGGCTCTGGGAGCTTCTTTCTAGAGGTTTAAAAATCATGCTGCTGTTCTTAAATGTCATTCAGTACAGTGAAGTAGCAGGGACACCAACATGAAAAGAAAAATGGACATGGTATACAAATACCAAGATGAACACCGAAGATCAGTGCAAGCCAGACGGACATGGTGGCATCAACCTGTAGTCCCAGCGACCCAGGAGGCTGAGGCAGGAGGATCCCAAGTTTAAGGCCAGCTTGGGCAACTGAGCAAGACCCTGGGAAGGAAGTAAAGGAGGAAGGGAGGGAGGGAGGGAGGGAGGGAGGAAGAAAAGAAAAAGAATGAGAGGAAAAAGAGAAAAAATGTGTGCAGTTTCCCTGTTTTATGTTTCCCACCTCATCTTTTAAGAGAGGCAAGAACCACAATGGAAGGCAGTGCACCGTGCCAGTCGACCCCATAAATACCAACAGAAGGCAATCCCTGTGTCCGTGGCAGCTAGAATTGGCATCTTGGAGGGGGTAATCTCAGGTTTCCATGGAGAAGTAGGTCCAAGAGGCCAAAGACTCCATGGCTTGACTGCACTGGGCAGGAGTGGGGGCCGGTGTGGCGGCGTGAGAAGCCCAGGCTGCGGGTGTGGAGTCGCCTGTGGGAAGTGGGGGGCGTGGACTCGGGAGTGGCAGTCCAGGTGGAGAGGGGAGCGCAGCGCTGATCGCTGTTCCCAGGTCCCCAGGCCCCGGGGGGACGGGCCGCAGACCGAGGCTCTGTGCCGCTGGGCTGGGCCCTCGGGCGTGGGCCTTGGCCCAGCCCACGACTGCTGCCCGCACCTCCCTACTGTGGGGTACGGATACCATCGTGGAGGGCAGAAAAGTGAAGTAAATGTCAGGAATGCAGAGCAACCTTTTACTTGCCTTGATACTCTCACTTTATTATATTTTTTCCACAAAACAATTTAAAATGCAGATCACTGTGAGTTCCAAGCCAGCCTGGGCTACACAGTGAAACCCTGTCTCAAAAAAAAAAGTAAAATGCATTTTCACTGCATGGCTGGTGTGGCTTCTCAGGCCCGGTGGTCTAATGATGAAAGCGTTTGGTGGGGCCATGTTCGTCTTTTCCTGACTGTCCCTGCCCCGATTCATGTTCTGTAGCCGTAAGAATTCAGTGACTTCAGGTTGTTTCAGTGGGAAAGCAGACCAGAGATGGGACCGAAACAGTGAGCACTTGGTGTTACTTTATTTGGGGGGCTTTGGGGTGTTGGGTATGTTGTTGTTCTTATAGTTGTTTGCATTTTGCCAACATCAAACAGAGGACTCTAACTGGTGAGGATAAAAACACATTTGCAAACATGAGACTCCTCAGTGTAGCCAGAAACAATGACAAAAGGAAAAAATCCCCATTTCTCTGCTTCCCTCTAGCGTGCGCGCATCAGTAACTGTCCCCAGCCCTGCTGTTCGGATCACACGTGGGTCCTTCTCCTGCAGGTGCTCCCAGGCGGCCTCCCAGGATTCGCCTTGCTGTGCCGTGGCCTATTCGGCTGTGGCCCTTTCAAGCGTAGCCACACGCAAATTCCGTGTGTGATTCCTAAGACCCTTGTGAAGCCCATCGCTGTGGGTGCAGGCTCTGAGGAAGTTCTGCAGCTTGCTCGGACATCGCCCCAGCACCAGGGCTGGAAGGGACTCCGGAACTCGCCTGGGGATGAGGGCAGGAGGCGGCCACTTCTCCCCTGCGTGGTTGCTGGCATCTCAGCCATTCGGAGGCTCCCACCACCTCCTTTGGAGGCAGCCTCTAATTACACCCCGGGAACTTGCGCACGTTCCACATGAGCCACGCTTCACTCTGGCCGCTTCGCAGCTTCTTCTGCTCTGAATGAGCTCACCACTTCACGCGCCTCCTGCTTAAGCTGGCCGCTTCCCAAACACTGCAGCCACTCTCTTGCTGGGAGCTGATCGTTCTCTGTGTCCCCACAGCTGAGCACCGCAAGACCCTGCCGAGTCAGGTCCCCAGGAGCGCATGGCCCGGGGGAGCAACACCTTTCACCAGTGCAGCTCCCTCCTGCCGGCAGAGGCTTGTCACTTCCCCCAGGCCCAGGGACAGTCAGGAGCTCCGTGGTGTCCTCCACTCACCCACGCTCAAGGCCGCAACCCCTAAGCCGAGACGGCGCTGTCCGGCCAGGGCAGGACCCTCTCCTTCCGGCCTCTGGGCTGCTGCAGCAGCTGTCCGGGTTGGCAGTGCTTGTTCAGAGAGGCCACCAGCAGGTCGGGGGCTGCTGGTATCTCGGTGGCCGCCACCTGAACCAGACGCTGCAGCCCCCTCAGGCTCCTGGACTTGTCTGGTCCACCCCTCTGCAGAGCTGCCCTCCCTGATGTCCCGTGGGGTAACCTCACTCCTCACCTGCTGACCACAGAGGTCACAGCGCCACTCTCGCCCTCTCCCTGCTGCCCCGGCCCTCACACAGCTGTGCGCCCCTCCCTGCAGCTGCCAGGCACATGGGCGCCACCGGGGTAAAGGTGTGCCGCCCCTGTGGCCGCCCTGTGCTGGCCTCAGGCCAAGGTGCAGGGACGCAGGCTGCCGAACTGTCACTGCCGGCCACGGGACCTTGTGAGCAAGTGTCCCAGCAGGAGGCTGTTAGGGTGGCCGGGGGAGCAGTGGCCATTCTGTGGCTTTGGCCGTGTGGGTCATCAAACAGCTCTGTGGTGATGCTGGCTTGGAGGGCGCAGCGGGTTGAGTGCACACCAGTCCAGGGACAGGACCACACTCAGGGACAGGCACCAGGCAGGCTGGGCCCTGAGTCTGCTCACCTTTGCCCTCCGGGGCGGGCATCCGCCCCACCTACCACCCAGGCCAGAGGGCAAGGGTCACAGACTCGCCAGTCCCCCCAGAGGTCCAGCCCCTTGTGCTGTGGAGCGGCCCTGGTCACCATCACCAGTGCCAGCCTCTTTGGTCTGGGGACCCTCGGGGTCTCCTTGTGACCTGACCCTTGCTCATCCCATGGGCTGGTGCCGGGGACATGGAGCCACGGGGTAAAGGCCTCCCGCTGGGTCTCATGTTCGAGGTCAGGGCAGCACTGGGCCTGTGGACACAGGAGGAGACATCCACACCATGTCGGTCACCTGCCACCCACAGGCCCTGCCGTCCTGCCTCAGCCGCCTCCTCTCTGTGTCTGCAGCGAGGCAGAACACACACCTCACCCACACGCTCAGCCCTCACACACACAGCTGCACCGTGACCTCCGTTCCCACTGGACTCAGGCCCAGAGGAACACCTGCCACTTTCCGTTTCTTATCTTTAAGTTTCTATGAGCCCATGTTTGCAGCACAGGACGGCTTTCCTCGTGGGGGGCCGGTGCGTGGCCGCATCTCAGTTCTCCTTGCACCCCCTTCCCTTCCCTGCCCGCGTCTCTTGTCCCCATCCCCTTCTTCTTTACGTCACTGTGCCCTCTTGTGCCAGCTGAGGAGGGAGGCCCGGTGTCTGCCCGACCCGAGGTCACTGGCCCCGCAGGTCCAGGAGGAGGCGGGGGAGGACAGGCCAGTGTCCCACACCCGAGCACGGCAGGTGGGAGGAAGGCAAAGCTGGTCCTGGGCCCCGGCGCCCTTGCTTGCCGTGCCTCTGTGGGTGTCCTGTTCGGGAGCCCCAGCCCGGGACAGTGCCCTGAGAGCTGTGGCCCCTGACCGCGCTCTGTCTTGCAGCTTCCTGGAGAGGATCGACAGCGTGAGCCTGGTGGACTACACACCCACCGACCAGGTAGTTGCGCACCGGCTCCCCGGGACCACTCTGGGTTGCTTTTAAATAAATTAAGGGGAAGCTCCCTGAAGCACCCCCGCCTTGAACCTCATGGCACTGCCCCGCATGTGTCAGGGGTGCCACCGGCCCCAGCCCTCCAGCCCTGCCATTGTGGGAAGGATTCCACTCGTGACCAGGACCATGCGGCTCCCAATGGCCCTGAGCCTCCACCCCTCAGGCCGCCCCTCCTGCTGGGCCCGGGGTGCTCCTTGGGGTCCCAGAGCAGCTCCCTGGGCTGAGCGGGAACAGAGTGGCTCTTGGGTGTGGGGATGGAGAGCTAGGTGGAAGCCAAGCAGCAGGGAAGCTCTGTCTCCCGCAAACAGCCCCACGCCCTAGCGTGGTCCCCTCCGACATCCCCTGCAAGTGCCTGGAGAGCAGTCTAGGTCCTAGTCTCGCTCACCCCGGGGCTGCGTCCTAGACTGTCCCTGATCGGCGGAGACACAGGGCCACCTCATGTCCCCAAGGTCAGACTGTAGATTCCCAGTGGAAGAACACAAAAAGACGCCGGCCCGACGTGCTGGCTGCCCGCTCTGTGACGGCAGGACCTCCTGGTCCACTTGGGACCAAATCATCTGATGGGGGACGCAGGGGAAGGAGCCAGAAAGTGAGCGGCAGGCAGGGGAGACGCCGGCTCGGCGTCCCCACAAGCCCGGCCTCGCGGGTGGCGCTGTCCCTCACTGCGGCCGCACAGGCAGCAGGATGAGCCCTAACTTTCTCAGTTAAAAGTCTTGAGGAAAACAAAAGCACAGGTTGTCTTTAAGGACAACCCCAGACGTGAACTGTGGGGTTTCCCGGGGGGGCCGAGGCCTCGCTGACCCGAGTTCTCCGCTTTCTGGGTTCCTGCCCGGGTCCCTCGCTCGCTCACCCGCTGCCGGCCTCTCCTCCCCCAGGACCTGCTGCGATGCAGGGTGCTGACCTCGGGCATCTTCGAGACACGGTTCCAGGTGGACAAAGTGAACTTCCAGTGAGTGTGGCTGGGATGGGGTGCCACGGGTCCCCCGTGGGCTCAGGGCTGCCATGGCCACTTCCTTTTGGTGCAAGTGAGTCAGAGCTGAAGCGAGCCTTGCTCGCTGCTGGCTGGAGGCCCTCGGTCCATCAGGAGCGCGAGGACACAGGCAGCGGCCCTGCTGTCCCTCGGAGGCTCCGCCGCCCACCCCAGCCCCACTGAACCGCTGATCTCATCTCCCTGCGGAGGAGGCCCTTCTCCCTGCGAGAGCCTCTGGCACACCTGCCCATCCACCCCAGGCCACCACCCTGGTCCCCAGGGCTCCTTCCCGGCTGTCCAGGGCTCAGCCAGCACCACCCACCTCCACCGTCTCTGCAGAAGGACGGCCTGGGCTCCCCACAGTCCAGCCCTCCACCCTCATCCTGTGGCCAGGCCTAACCCTAACCCGCTCCACCTGCCGCCCCACTGAGGCTGGGCTGTGTCCTCCAAGTTCACTGCGCCTCTGCCAGAGGGCGTTGCACGTCCGTCCCCAGAGCCCTGCATGCCACCAGGCTGAGCAGACCCCACCGTACGTTCTGGGCCCTGTCCCAGCGGTGTCCACTCCCAGGTGTCCTGAGGACCCAGCACCACGCTGCTGTCAGGACGTGCAGCCCTGGGCCCAGCTGCATCCACTCTGCCCCTGAGGGGTCCACCCTGCAGCACCCGTCGTGTGCCCTCTGTGCCCCCTCCCCCATATCTCGAGCCCACGGGTCCCCAGAGCGACAACTAAGCGCCACCCCCACCCTGCGTGGACTCGGGCACAGGCCCCAGCTCTAGGGAAGGCGCAGGCTGGGAGCCCAAGGCCTGCCGCCACCAGGAGAGGGGAGCAGAGGATCCTGAGGGCAGTGGGGAGACGCCAAGCCTCTGCTGTGGGGGCACAGAGACCCCCACAGGTGGCCCGGAGCTTATAGGTGTGGTGAGGTGGCCAGAGCCTCCCTGGCTCCTGGGGCTGAGGGTCGGCCACCTCCGTGATGGGGGCTCCACGTGGCCCCCATGGCCGAGCAGGACACCGCGTCCACTGGAAGCGGCCAGCTCATTCAGTGCCACTGTGCTGCCTCCACGCCGGCGGCCGCTCTCCGACCCTCCCAGCCCCACAGCCCCAGTGGGTGGCAGGGAGGCGAGGCTGGGGGAGGCGGAGGCCACACCGCGGGCAGGGTGGATGCTCGGCGTGGCTGGCGTGGGAACAGCTGCACCCCACGGGCCGGGGACGAAGCCCAAGTGCCGAGCGGAGCCCCCACTGAGGCCGCCTCCTCCGCAGCATGTTCGATGTGGGCGGCCAGCGCGACGAGCGGAGGAAGTGGATCCAGTGCTTTAACGGTGAGGGTCCCGGGGGAGGGGCCCAAGGGGCCCGGCCGGCGGGAAAGCGGGGCATCTGGCCACTGCCGCCCCGAGTGAGTCGCTAAACAGAGAGCTTAAGGAGCCCAGTCCCATGTGTCTTTGGGGGCGGCCCCCCACCCCCAGAGCGCCCCCTCCACACGCAGCGCACCTCTCGGCAGCCCACAGCCCTGGTGCGGGAGGGTGGGGTGTCTGGGTGCGATCTCCGCTCGCTCAGCTGCCCCTGCCCTCTCCCCACGAAGATGTCACCGCCATCATCTACGTCGCGGCCTGCAGCAGCTACAACATGGTCATCCGGGAGGATAATAACACCAACCGCCTGCGAGAGTCCCTGGACCTCTTCGAGAGCATCTGGAACAACAGGTGACCAAGGGCAGATTCAGTGAGCCGCTGGATCGCAGATCTCCTTGTTAGACAGACATACAGAGAAGCCGGGTGCAGTGCCACGTGACTAATCCCAGCTACTTGGGAGGCTGAGGCAGGAAGATTCCAAGTTTGAGCCCAGGGTGGTGAGATTCCAAGTTTGGTGAGATTCTGGCTAAAAATAAAAAAAATTAAAAGGACTGGAGATGCAGCTTAGTTGTAGGGCCTCCCTGGGTTCAAACCCCAGTGCCCCACCACACACACACACACTCTCTCTCAAAAGGTTGCAGATCTTTCGTTAGCAGTGCCGTATTTATTCTCCAAGTAGCACACCCTTCCCTTGCTGACAAACCCTCACCTGTAGGCAGTGTCTTTCACTCCATCTAAAGTATAATTGTACTTAAAATGGGGACTGTTCTTTGATGGCCTCTGATGGCACTTTTTCAAGAAAATTTAAATCATTTTGAAAGCTGAGATTACATCTAGGGCTCAAAACTGGTTTCATTTGGTTTTTAAAATGTAGAACAGCTGCTGATGGCTGCATGGTCTCCCAGACCACTCAGAGCCCAAAGCCAGCGCGTAACGGCCTGACATGGGTGTGTGGCAGAGACCAGGGCCCGTTCGGAAAGGAAGGCTGCCGAGCGCACATGGCCTCTCCCCAGCTGAGCCTAGAGCCCCCCCTGAAGTGCTCAGGGAGCAGTGTAGAGCTGGGCGAGCGGAGGGCTTGGACACGGGAGACGTCTTCCCCTATCAGGGCTCCACAGCCCTCGTCAGTGTCCAGACAGTTCGGGCAAAGAACAGGGCGAGAAGCGGTCACTGGAAATCCCGCCCCACACGCACAGAAGGGGCCTCAGCCTCGCCGTGAGACAGAGCGGGCTTCCGCACAGCTCAGCAGGCCTGCGAGCACCCACGAGGACCTGAGCTCCAACCCCCACACCCCAGGGCAGGAAACGGGAGCCCCTCGCGTAAAAGCTCTGGGAGTTGTGGTCTCTGGACATCTGGATATAATTATGCTTGTTTATTTTCTATATATTTTTGTATGATTTAAAATTATAATCTTTTTGGGGGTGGCACTGCAGTTGAACCCAGGGCCCCTTGAATGTCAGGAGTATGCTCCACCATGGAGCTACATCCCAAGGCCTTTTTTAAAATTTGCTTTTGAAATGGAGTCTCACTTAACTTCCCAGGCTGGCCTCAAACTTTTGATCCTCCTGCCCCAGCCTCCCGAGCAGTTGGCATTATAGGCATGCACCACCATGCCAGCTACAAATTATAATCTCAGTGTAATTGAAGGGTAATTAATCTTAATGAAAGGTTATAGAAAATGATCTTTGTGCCAAGATTGTGCACTTGGTAACTGGAAGAACAAGTGCTGCTCCTTCTGGTGAGGCAGTGGGTGGCACCATCGGCCGGCGGTCACTCTGAGCCCTCAGAAGTGAAGGATTCGGGCTCTGCACCCCAAGCCAGTCCCAGGCACCCGTGTCATGAAGCGGAGTGCACGGGGACCTTTGCCTGCCTCCTGTCACTGTCCCCGAGCCGCCTCCCTGTCCCTGTCACACCTGGTTACTGTCACGGCCCCTGCCAGGACCAGATGTGCTGGGGGTGGGCGGGAACCGGCCGGTGGGTCTCCTGTCCCTCTGCAGCTGCGAGGTGGTTAACGCTGTCACCCTCCCCCCCAAGACCACACAACGCCCATTGCTCACAGACACGGGCTCGGCCCCGTCCCCAGTAAAGTCCCAGGCCCAGCGGAGCTGACGGACTCAGTGGTGACCTGCATCTGCCATCACCCGGATGCAGGGGAGGCCCTGGCACCCCAGGCCCGACCCCAGCCCTCCCGTGGACAGCCGGCAGGCAGGGAGGCCTGCACGTCCGCCAGGGCGCTGCGGTGTGCCCGGCTAAGGCGTGCGTCTGTGGCTCCTTGCAGGTGGTTGCGCACCATCTCCATCATCTTGTTCCTGAACAAGCAGGACATGCTGGCAGAGAAGGTCCTGGCAGGGAAGTCAAAGATCGAAGACTATTTCCCCGAGTACGCAAACTACACCGTTCCCGAAGACGGTGAGATCCCGACCCAGGCCTGCGGGGTTTGGGAGTCCTGACCCAAGGGAGCCTTGCTGGTTATGTCATCCTCTCCCCCAAGGCAGCCCCATCCAGTGCCAGGTGGGCAGTGTCCAGTGTGGGTGAGGACCTGGACATTTGCACAGATGGTGAGGTCCCTGAACGCGAAAGCCCCGTGTTCCACAAACGCCTCCGCACTCGGCCCAGAGCTGACACTTGCAGCACGCCTGCGCGCTGACTGTGCCTCACACTCAAGTCAGGTGTGGGGTTTTCCAGGCGGGGCTCCAAGTCAGATTCCAGAGCTCCCAGATTTCAGACTGTCGGATGCAGGCTGCCCTGGCATGGAAAAGGGTCCCCTGCCATCCATCTGCCGGGACTCATCCGACGTCCCCTTCCTGCTTGTGGCACAGAAGGGGGCTGTGTTGGCCTCGCCCTGTGACCATGGGTGGTGCTGTCCTGTCCTCCCGTGGATGAGGCTTTGACCCCAGGCATCCAGGCCATGTGGACGGAGCCTCCGAAGGCCAGGCAGTGTGCTGCAGACAGGAGGGCGTGGCCCTCGCTCCCATGCTTGGCCGCCCATCAGCTTTCCAGCACCTCCTCGGGCCTCTTTCGGGACGTACCACACCCCCTCGAGCGCCCACAGCGCCCAGCCCCCACAGTGCGGTCCATCAGAGGCTGAGGCCAGCACAGGCCCACGGGATCTGACCTGTTCTCTGCTTCCATCCAGTCACACCTTCACACCACTTACATGAAACTTCACTTTTCATTTCCACAGCAACACCAGATGCAGGAGAAGACCCCAAGGTTACAAGAGCCAAATTCTTTATCCGGGACCTGTTTTTGGTGAGCCATTTTGTTAACCTTCTGTCCTGCCACCTTAGCGTTTCCTTCACAGAAACTTGCAAATGACTTAGCTTTTCCTGATCGCTTAATCTTCACCAGCACTGTGGGCTTTGCTGTCATGACAGCACACCAAGGTTCAGAGAGGTTAAATCGGTCCCCAGGGTACACAGCTTCCAGCGCTGGGACCACCTTTATGTCCCCAGGCTGTCCACCTTACGTCTCAAAGCTCACCTGAGAGTTTTTCCCTTGGGCACCACCTCCAGAGAGGCCTTGGGGCCTGGGCAGCAGCCCGGTGACCCAGTCGCCCAGGGCTGGCACGGCCACTCCTCCCCCAGGCCCATTCTGTCGCCTGCAGGGAACATCAGTGCTCAAATCAGGCGCCTGAGACACGAAAGGGAGTCAGCAGACTGCAGCGAGCGACCGGGCACAGAGCCTGTCCTGAGACGTGTGGCCCCAGGCAGGGGCGGCAGGGACGGCCAGTCCAGTAATGACAGGGCGCAGCTCCGTGTCCCAGCCTGCACCCGGGCAAGTGTTCGGCACACGGGGTCAGGAACAGATGCAGTCTTCCAGCAGCACCGGAGACTGTGGTGACAGGTGTTAGTGGAGCCAGGCGCCCAGCGACCTTGTGGTGCCCCAGAACAGCTCCGAAGGCCCTCTCACGGCCTGGGCAGGGTGAGGTGGGGCATGGTGAGGAGACCCCACCGCGGCCTCTGCCCTCGGGAGCAGGCGGGCGTCACCTCCCTGTCCCCGCAGGCTTGTGCACTCACCTCCTCTGCCTGCGTGGACAGCACACTGGATTAGCATTGCCCTAGTGACCTCATCCTACCTTCTTTATCTCTCCAAAGATAATCACATCTGCGGGCCTGGGGTCAGGGCACAACACATGGCCTGGCCGGGGACACAGTGTGGCCACTCAGCCCACCCCCCCCCGGCCTCTGCAGGCCAGCTGGCTTCCTGCTCCCTGTGCCCGTGGCTCTGAGAGGTCCTCACACACAGGATGGACGGGCTTCGACCCCACATTGCCAGAGCTGGTGATGACAGGGCGCTCTTCTCCGTGCCTCCAGCGTGTTCCCGCCACCAAGGGTTCCCCTGTGGACTGCTGCACCGCAGGGCCCCGCCACATGGGTACCTAAGTCAGAGAATAAGTGACTAGAACCCAAGCCTGGCTTCATCTGCAGGGGTCTGTGCTGACCAGCAGACAGAGGACAGCCCCCCACGGAAGCAGGCTCTGTCCCACCTCACTGGCCTGGGTGCTTCTGCAAGCCCCGAGCCTGGCTTGCACCCAGCCCAAGGCCACACTCTGCCCGCTTCCTCCGTCCTGCGGCTCTGAGCCCATGCGCACAGGCAGCTGGAGGCTGTCCCGGTATGGACCAGTCAGCTTTCCTCATGCGGGGACACAGGCCCGACGCCGCAGCTTAGGGGCGCTCCCCTGGCTCACAGTCTGGGGAAGCCCCGTGGCGGGGCGGGTGCTTAGTTCACGGTGGCCAGGAAGCAGAGGGGAAGAGTGCGGAGAGGAGGGGGCAGGCCCAGGCACGGGACCCGGGGCCACGCCCCCACGCCCACCCGGACACACCCGGAGGCCTGCTGTACTAGTTCTCCGAGTACTCCTCACCTGACGAAGCGGCCAGCTCAGGTTTAAGGGTCCCAAGGTCCCAGCACACGCCCCTTGAGTCCTGGGGCCTCATGGTCCCAGCACCCCATGCCTGCAAGCCACGCGGTTCTCACACAGACCCCGCCTTTTGCAGAGGATCAGCACGGCCACCGGCGATGGCAAGCACTACTGCTACCCCCACTTCACCTGCGCCGTGGACACGGAGAACATCCGCCGCGTCTTCAACGACTGCCGCGACATCATCCAGCGCATGCACCTCAAGCAGTACGAGCTCTTGTGAGGGCAGCGCCGCCCGCCCGCCTGCCCCAGTCCCAGAGGCGGGCGTCCCCGGGACTTCGATGTGTGCCCCAAGCAGTGGTAGTACTAGTGTCTAGTGTCTCCTGGCTGCCTGCCCTCTGTCCTGTCCTGGGTGCGCCTGGGCGTGACCACCAAGCCTCTGGCTACCTCTGTCCCCCAGGTTGGGTTCTGTAGCATTGTTTCCACTAAACACAGCCGTCCCCACCCACCCCGCCCGTCACTGCAGACCACCGGCCCTGGGGGCGCCGCGGTGAGCTCTCTCCCATGGGGACCCTGGGACTCACTGATTGGTGACTGACAGCCGGACTCATCACGGAGACTCAGTAGATGGGGAGCACAGCGGCCCTCTTGGTTTCCCCATGACAAAGCCACAGGCTGACAGGCGGCCGCCCTCCCATCACCCTGGCCAGGGCTTAGGGCAGCCCGAGTGGCAGAGCAGAGTCCCCTTCTCCTGGGCTGGGCAGAAGGCTGCCACACTCACTTCCAGAAAGCACCTCCCATGTAAAAGAAGCCATCCTTTCCCACACCTGGATGCGGTCTCCTCCCATATTCGCGTCACTGTTGTTTTAGCACCAGTTTACTGCACTGTACATACGGATCACAAATGTAATCTGCTTTTGTATCACTACTCAACAAAACTCCTTGTTGGTTTTCGTGCCTCGATGGTAGCTGTACCTGTGAGAGAACCGTGTCCTGCCTGTGCTGAACAGCTCCGTGTCAACGTGCTCTGCTGCTTGCTCCAGAAAGAGGAAAAATAGCATTGGTGGGATATGGGACACTTTTATCGGTCTGGTACGTTATAAAATACTCCCTCGTTTTTTAAAAAAGTACACATAGCCAGGCGTGGTGGCACCCCGCCTGTAATCCCAACACTTGGGAGGCTGAGGCAGGAGGATCGCTGAGTTCAAGGGCAGCCTCGACTATATAACTGTGGGACCCTGACTCATAAAAAAAGGACCCATAAATGACACCTGTTAACCATCACACCTGCCGCAGCCCTGCTCCGTGTCCTCTAGGCCTTTCTCTGAAAGCCCAAGCTCAGATCCAAGCCACAGACTGCACCCCTCTGCTCCAGGGAGCGGGACATTTTCCCCAGCACTTCCCTGGGTCACGGCTGGACGCAGACTCCGTCAGTTCCCAGGTGGGCACAGGCGAGCAGGCTGTCTGGAGCCGCAGGCAGACTCGGGTGTAGGAGTGGTCATCGAGAAAGGCCAGGGCTGCCGCCCTTGGCGATGGCCGGAGAGGAAGAGCACATCTCCACTCGTCTTTCCAAGCAGAGACCTTCCAAAGCCCTTCTGCGTCATGTTGAAGGTGCTGGGTGGAGCCCACGGCCTCGTGCACACCAGGCAAACGCTCGACCGAGCTGTGTCCCCAGACCCACAAAACCCTCACCGAAACAGACAGCACACGGCTGTTCCTCCCTCCTGAGACTGGCAAATGCAGCCTCAAGAATCACAGAGACTGAGGTCGGCTGCCACCGTGGGCCCCGGCGGACAGGCAGCTGCTTGGCTGAGGTCATCTGTGAGGACGACCCACCACCCCGCAGCGTCAGTGCTTCACCTACACGAAGCCAGAGGCGACGGCCGGCACGGCCTCACCGGCTCTCCCGCTGCCCTCCCTCCTTCACAGCCGGCTCTGTAAGCCAGCGCTTCCCAGTCCTCGGAGCTCACCCACACTGCAGTGTCACTTCTCGGACGGCCCTGCCGACCCGCCGGGCCCTGCCACTGCCTGCCCACCGCCGCACTGGGCTCCTTGGTTGCCTGGGGCAGGAACAGTAGGGACGCCCACTTCTCCCGGCTCTTTCAAAGCAGAACAGAAGAAAACTGAAGAAATGCACCTCCCCGCAAAAAGCAGCGTTTAAAGATGTGTGCACTTCCTCGCGTGTGGCGCCAGTTCCCTCTCACTCGAGGACCGTCACAGGGCGGCTCCGCGGCAGAGCTTTCTCAGCACGCCCAAGGCCCCGGGCCGGGCCCAGCACCACCCAAGAGGAGTCAGTCAGTCAAAGCTAGGTTAAAAACAGCAGCCACACTCGGGGAAAAACAGTACAGCTTCTCCGACTGTAAATTACTGCATCATTTATTTTTAAATACCAGAAGCCACGTCCAAGTCCATCCTTCAAGTTCCGACCTCTGACAGGCGTGAGGTTCGGGGAAACAGCCCCGTCCCCTGGAGAAGAGAATTCCGTCTATCTAGAACCCTGATGTCAGTAGTTTAGCGTGGAAGGACAAAGCCGGGGAGCAGTGTGCTCCTGCTGGGTGGGGCTGAGGGGCGGCGCCCCAGGACACAGCTAAACGGCCCGTGAGCCTGGGGCAGGGGCGGGACGAGCAGCTTCACGCCCTCGCAGCCGCAGCCCCATTACCCGTGTATTTGGTAGACCAGGAGAGCAGCTGTTGCAGAGTGCCTGTTCCGTTCCCAGCGTGCGAACAGAGCAGTCACTGTTCCTTCCGCACCTCACCACTGCGAGGACAGTGCGTCCGCAGACCGCCACGCTGCTCTCCGCGGCTCTGGGAGCGGGCGTCTGGTCCTGACGTCCCTCCGGATGCACGGCCGCTGCCACTCCTCACCTGGCCTTATGCGTCCTGAGCACCGTTCGGCCGGAAAGGAAGGGCAGGGCCAGCCACCCCGAGTGAGCCAGGACGAGGCCCGTCAGGAGCCCCGCTACCCCGCAGTAGGTGGCCAGGACGGTGTTCTCCTGAGGGAGGAAGCACTTGGACAGGGCGTAGTCTCGGGACGTCAAGCTGGCCTGCGAGAGAGACATGGCCGGCAGTCTGACCCAGAGCCCCGCAGAATGGCGCCCAGCCCGGTGGGTCCCGTCACACCGTGGGGGACTCGTGACGCAGGGTGTCACAGCCCGCGGAGCCAGCATGACGGCCCATGTGTCTCTGGCTCCGTTCTGAGACCGGGCCCCCTTCCCACGGAGGAAACGCCTGTGGGTGGGCGGCTCCTGGGGTGCAGACACGGCCCGCTCTGTGCGAGCTCCATCCTGCGGCTCTGCACACGCGCAGGCTGCAGCGCGCGCGGCTGGCTACTGTGCCGGGAGCAGTGTGAAAGCTCCAACGCGACAATAAACGCCACGTTAGTTACCATGATGAAGCTGGGGTTGTTTCTGTTCCTCCAGCTGAAGGACGGCACGCTAAGCTCGGGGGTCCCCGCGCCGTGGAGCACCTCGCAGGCACTGTGCGTGTGGCCACTCAGCACCAGGCGCGGCCCGAACCACCAGAGCAGCTGGACACGAACGGGACACGGGCGGGCGGTCAGCGTGGGGGCACGGGGCAGCGAGTGCGGGAGAGGGCGGGCAGCGTGGGGGCACGGGGCAGCGAGTGCGGGAGAGGGCGG